CGAACTTTTCTCAGGTTATTTAGACGAAAAAATGACCTCAGCGGGCTCCAAAAGAGAACGAAACAAAAAACAGAACGAGACAGTGAGAAGAGCCGATAATTTATTCACCACGTGGCCTTCGTTACGTTCAAGTTAAAAAAAAGCCTTACTTCTGGATAATTTCAGCCTTACAAGCCAGCAACTGGTCCCAAATTACTTTCTGTATCCTTCCAAATGTCCTGACTTCCATCTCCGAAAGATTTGGCCGCAATTTTTTAGCAAATAAACATTTCGCCGGCAGCAATCACCATTACGGTGACTTGCATGCTAATTCGCTAACTTTACAAAACCCTCCCGAGGGGGTGATATGACGAAAAGAGCTGAAAAATGATGACCGGAAATAGAGTAATTTTCTCAGCTTCCGGTGTGCCAAATTTGCTGGAAATAGGTTCAAAACCGATAGTTTTTTTTTTTCGTTTTTTTTTCTTCGGGTCACTCATGTTACCAAAATAGTAAATTTTAAAAGCGCGGTTGTAAGATCTTAAAGATCTTCTTGTTGATTGTCTATCGATGTAAGATATTTCAGTAACAGTAAAACGAGGCATTTGCACGGAATTGCATCATTCCTCAGGCATTGTAAATCTCGAAAGGATAAATTTGTTACCTCGGAGGCTGAGAAAAAAAATGAAATACTTTTCCATAAGTTCCTTCAAACAGTGAAAACGACAATGATATTAGTAAATTTTGCTTTGCGTTTGGAATAGCTCAAGAACGTTAGTTATATACCTTGACGTAGACTGTATCTGCGAGAACTTCAAGCTCGATATAGTTGGGCCGCTCCTGTTCATCTTGGAAGTTTACACCGTGCTTTGTTCTAAGATTCTCTTCTATGAAGTCCATGTGAGCAACCCGGCCCACCACTCGGTAACGTTCTGTTGGCAAATTACATAACGTGGCGAATTAGTGATTAGTCATGTGGAGGCGAAAAATATCTCTGCATTTCGGAAAGTAACAACAGCAACAGAAAACAGAAACTTTAGAGAGCAGCATATGTCTGTCTGTCCTCGCTCAGTGCTAATCGAAGAACTACTCTTTCTAATCTGGAGGACTTCCAAAAGCTAGGTACACTTTTTGGGTTTGAAGTTTCATACATGTTGTTGAATAATTTATGTTCAAAGTGAAGTTATGACCACGTGTGAGCTAATGTTCAAACTTATTTACGTATTCTTGTATGCCATGTCGCCTGCGTTAAGACTATTGCTTTATTTAGAATCTACACAACCAACAATTTCTATCCTGAAGAGGCAATATATTTATAATTACAATAAACTATGGAAAAAAAAAATGAAATGTTAGAATTCAATACAACATAATTTTGAAGGAAGTAAAGTAGGTAAATAACTTTATTAAAGTGTCAGGCTAAAATAGCAGTAATAAAACCATTAAATGGGGACACTTTAGCATAAAAGATTGATATAACAAGATCTAATATTATGTTTAAAAAGCTAATCAAAGATAAGGTTGAAGTTAGTTCCAAATTTAAAATATCCAGGGTTAAGTTTATTCAAAACCTTGTTCGTCTATATAAGTGTATAATAGAGTGCTGGAACCTGTCGAAAAATACTCCAATGAGTGTCTGTTACAAATACATGAGAGATTTCCGGTACGTACTGCGCAGTCTCAGCACTCTAACGTTTTTATACAAGTCTCACTTGATGGAATGCGAATAGATGTTACTCGTTAAGAGCCGCATACCTATCTTTTAGGCCTTTCAAACTCTTTTTCCAGCAGCTTCAATGATTTTTACAGTTGCGAAGTTGTTTTATCAAGTGACAAAGAACGAAGCGCGAAGCCTCGCATCCATAATGGAAGTTGACATGAAACTTTGAATTTACCTCATTTAAGTGGTTGCGAAATGTTTACATTTTGTGATGTCTTACATGTACATGAAGCGAAATAAAAAACGTAAACAAACTCTCGTGAGTGCGCAGTACGGCCTGAAAATCATCTTTAAGGCTGTTGTGAACTAAACCAAACTTGACATTATTTCTTACCTGATAGAACGCAACCGTAAAACTCAGCTCTCATGGAGATATGGTCATTCCAAGTCTTCGGTATTATTTTCACATATCGAGCTGTAATTGGCTGTAAAAGGCTGTGGGTTACTTTGCCATTCTGATCAATATTTCCAGTAAAAACCTGCGATGCACAGACATTTCATGAGATAACTTGTTTTAATTATAGACAAGTTTGTTGAGGAGGGAGGGTGCTTAACGGCAACGGTTTCATTTTTTTCTTTTTGTTTGTTGTTTGCTTGTTTTATTGATTTAATAGGCGCCTACTAATTCAATGGGCGGCCCCTTCCAAAAAGCATAGAAAGAGTGAATCGTGTGGTCCACTCGATCTCTCATCAAAACATAACATTCACCATCTTCACTTAGAATAATTATAGAAAACAGTGGTGTGGTGGTGACGAAGAGATCCCCAGTTCCCGATATTTCCTTACTTACGCATCTTTTGTTTTTCATGAAATTGCTCTATCGCATTCTGATGTTTATGCCAAAAAAAAAACAAACAAACAAACAAAAACAAAAACAAAAACAAAACAAAATAAAACAAATAAGCGCCCTAAAAAGCGCAGGCAATCCTCAACCTTCACTGTTGTGGCTCCACAGGCTCACACCTCAGTGTTCTAATTGCTCTCACTGTTGAGTTTCAGTGCTTCAACTCCAGTTACCACCGATAGTTAGCGCTTTAATAGTGTTTTATTAACTGCCAGAAGGCATTTGACCTCGATGTAGGCCCCAGGTACGATGCTGCATGACTTAAAAGTCATGGGACGAAAATTGGAGCTAATTAATGAGTAGAAACGCTGCATCTGAATTTTGTGGTGCACAAGCTGTCCGTCTCAACGGGATGTTACCCTAAAGGTACCATAAGGAACGTGCCCTTAAAAAGTAGAGCCCTGCAAGATATATTTTCATTTTTCATTGATGAAGCCTAAAACTAATAGTCTAGTTTCGCTAAACATAACGATAAAAGTGCATTGAATCTAATAAAGAAGTGTTAGAATAAGTTACAAGCAATAGTTTTGGTTTGAAAATTGAAAAAAAGTCTGATCAAACGTACGCTTTTCAAGTTCTGTCATCGCGTCGTCGAAAAATCGCTAAGTACTCATTAACATTTGCTCTTCTGTCAACTTTTCATTTAATATGTTATGTTTGTGTACGACTAAAGACAACTCATTCGTGATTTTTGCTCTGTTTTGACCAAAAGTCCAGACAAATTGCCGTGATCGCATGCAACCACATCAAACATGTCCATTTGATACTCCCGAATTTTTAGCTGTGACAAAACTTGTGTTGTGAGGAACCGAACTCCTTTTAACTAAAAACGGTACGATGAAATGCCCGATTTTTCTCGTTTGTGACCCATTTCAGAGAAGGTAAGGGAGCTACGTCACGGGTTGCGCATTTTGAAAAGTTCAGCCCAAATTTTTCAAGTTCTTCGTCTGTAATCTGTGTCAATCTACTTTGTGTTACCTTATCTTGACCGTTCTCTTGATATGTCTGAAAAACCGGTTCCTTTTCGGTACTGAAAGAAAGAGTGTAGCTTTTGACCCATTGCTTATAGTCTTGCCTTCCTTGGGTGACAAACTTTGTGATCTTAACATCTCGTCCAAAATCCACTTGAAGCCATTGGTTAAGATCATTCGTCTTCGCTGACCAGGCGCCCATTTTCCTTCCATCAGCAACATGGTTTAGCCTGGCATTTTCTGGACCATGATTTTCACTGTATTGTGAATATGCTGTTATCTGTTGGTTTTTTACAGCACCACTTTCCATGCCCAATGCCTCTTCTCCGGTGCACTCTAGTTTTAAATACAAATTTCGAGTTAAAAGTTAACAAGAAGCCTAAACAGTAGGGTTTACGTTATCGCGATACGTTTTAATTATAACACGGCCGCTATGATGCTTAGGGGAGAACAACAACAACAACAACAATAACAATAACAACAACAACAACAGTAGGGGACTTAGGATTTGAGTACGAGTACGACTTTTCAATTATACTTTGCAGGCTTGACATCATCAAATCACGTACCCATCTCATACCATGAGCTACTCTCTTTACCTAAAGCCAACATGAAGAGCGACGGCTCTGGAAACGTCACTGGTTTGAAATTCTAAAATCTTACTCGTAGTCAATCTCGTACTCGTGGTCCAATCTAAAGTTCTCTAACAACAACAACAACAACAACAACAACAACAACAAC